TTTGTTTTTGTTTCGAAACAGGGTCTCACTCTGTCACCCAGGATAGAGTGCAGTGGTGTGATCATAGCTCCTTGCAGCCTCAAATTCCTGGGCTCAAGCCATCCTCGCCCCTCAGCCTCCAGAGTGACTGGGACTACAAGCCCATGCCACTATGGCCAGCTAATTAAAAAAATTTTTTGGCCGGGCGAGGTGGCTCACACCTGTAATTCCAGGACTTTGGGACACTGAGTTGGCTGGATGACAAGGTCAGGAGATAGAGACCATCACAAAAATTAGCCGGGCGTGGTGGTGTGTGCCTGTAGTCCCAGCTACTCAGGAGGCTGAGGCAGGAGAATCACTTGAACCGGGAGGCAAAGGTTGCAGTGAGCTGAGATCACTGCACTCCAGCAGAGCGAGATGCTGTCTCAAAAAAAAAAAAAATTTTTTTTTCTTTTAAATTTTACTGTAGCTCTGTTGCCAGGGTCAATCACAAGTTTTGACTTAACATTTTCTTTTTGCCTGATTGTGGTTAGTCCCTGATCCACTCAGCACTAATTTGCAAGTTTGATTCCTGTTTTTGGTTTGAGTTCCCCTGAAAGAGAGGAAGCAGCAGCCATGTGCATGTTTATATTTGGAAGTTAGGGAGACAGACTGTGTGAAAGGAAGTCTCTGGGACAGCTCCCACCTCACGAAAACATAAACTGCATCTGTTCTAAGTTCAATTTCATATATGCCTATCTGCCCTTCCAGTCTATGCTTTCCTTTTTCATTGCTGTTTCCTTATTTTTCTTCTTTGACTTGTCTTTTGCATATATTTTTGGAGGTTTCTTAAATTATTTCTTACGAGTACCTGGTAAGAATGAGTGATGAGGAAGATTAAAGAAGAAAAAGTAAGAGGATAAACTGACTGGGTACAGTGGCTCACACCTGTAATCCCAGCACTTTGGGAGGCTGAGGTGGGTGGATCACCTGAGGTCATGAGTTTGAGACCAGCCTGACTAACATGGTGAAACACTGTCTCTACTAAAAATGCAAAAAATTAGCTGGGCGTGGTGGTGCATGCCTGTTGTCCCAGCAACTTGGGAGGCTGAGGCAGGAGAATCATTTGAACCCTGGAGGCGGAGGTTGCAGTCAGCTGAGGTTGCACCACTGCACTCCAGTCTGGGTGACAGAGCAAGACTCCATCTCAAAAAACAAAAACAACAACAAAAGCCCCCCAAAAACTAAATGTATGACTTAAGCATATTTTTTTCTGGGTTAATTTTCCCTACTTAACGTGGTGGTAAGTTACAGGAAGGCAAGAAGTGTATTTCTGTACCTGTTGTATTTGTATTCATACCTTCTGCCTCCATTATGTTAAATATGTAATCAGAATTAAAATTGAGGCTGGGCATGTTGGCTTATGCCTGTAATCCTCAGCACTTTGGGAGGCCAAGGTGGGCGGATCACCTGAGGTCAGGAGTTTAGAGACCAGCCTGACCAACATGGAGAAACACCATCTCTACTAAAAATACACACAAAAAATTAGCTGGGTGGTGGCGCATGCCTGTAATCCCAGCTACTTGGGAGGCTGAGGCAGGAGAATTGCTTGAACCCAGGAGGTGGAGGTTGTGGTGAGCCGAGATTGCACCATTGCACTCCAGCCTGGTCAACAAGAGCAAAACTCCATCTCAGAAAAAAAAAAAAAATTGAGTCAAGCTGTGCTAAGTTTGCTGTGTGATTTTGCAGAGACAGTTTTAACTCTGGACAACTTTGTTCAAAAATGAATATCATATTAATATCTCAATCTGTAAACTTTATAAAATGTATCAACAAATAAGAAAACCATTGTATTAGCTTGGACTGCCATAACAAAATACCAGATTGGGTGGCTTAAACAACAGTTTATTTTTACAAAGTTCTGTAGATTGGGAGTCCAAAATGGGGTGTCAGCATGGTCAATTTTGGGTGAGGGCTCTCTCTCTGGCTTGCAGATGTCTGTCTGCTTCCTGTGTTCTCAAATGGAGAGAGCTCTCTGGTGCCACTTTCTATAAAGACATTAATCTTCTGGGATTGGAGCCTCACCCTTATGACCTAGTTTAATTTTTATTATTTTCATAAAGGCCTTGCTCCAAATAGAGATGGTCCCTGACTTAAGATTTTTTTATTTTATGATGGTGCAAAAGCCATATGCACTCTAGAATCTGTACTTTGAGTACCCATATAATCATCCAGTTTTTCATTCAGTACAAGTATTTAATAGATTATGTGAAATACTCAATACTTTATTACAAAATAAGCTTTGTGTTAGATGATTTTGCCTAACTGAAGGCTAATGTAAGTATTCTGAGCATGTTTTAGGTAGGCTAGGCTAAGCTATGATGTTTGGTAGGTTAGAAGCATTAAATGCATTTTTGACTTACGATCTTTTCAACTTATGGTACTTTCAATTTACAGTGGGTTTATTGGAATATAACTCCTTTATAAGTTGAGGAACATCTGTATAGTCACATTAGGAGTGAGGGCTTCAGTATATGAATTTTAGGTGGGGATGCAATTTTAACCCATACCAGTAATGATAAAATATGCAAAGTTATTTAAACCCTTAGAATAAACTCAAAATTCACCTCCATTATTCACTTTGGATGCAAATAATAGAATATAGACATAGAGTAGCTGTTGCCTAGTTTCACAGTCTACTTGTCCTAGCCAACCTGAGCATAAACAGGTATATCTGTGCCTAACCTTGTGATCCTACATATGGCAGACTGTCTAAGTCCCTTTAGTGTTGCTAGAATGGAAGATCCAAAGCTGGATAATTTATAAATAAAAAAGATTTATTTGGCTTATGGTTCTGTCTGGAAAAGTTCAAGACTGAGCATCTGCATCTAGTGGGGACCTGAGACTGCTTCCACTCATGGCAGAAGGCAAAGGAGAGCTGGTCTATGCAGAGATTACATGGCCAGAGAGGGAGCACGAAAGAAAGGAAGTACCAGGTTCTTTTTAACCAGCTCTGACAGAAATAAAGATATCTCACTTACCCCCTCCCCAGGGAGGGCATTAATCTATTCATGAAGGAACCACCTCTATGACCCAACACTTCCCATTAGCCCTACCTCCAACATTGGGGATCAAATTTCAACAGGAGGATGAGGGGGACAAACATCTAAATTACAGCACAGGCCAATCACATGCATGCATTACTACTCAAATAATTTTGAAGTTAAATGCAGAAAACTGCAAACTTTTGAGGCTGACAGATAGGGCCAGGATTAAAGTAAAAAGTATTAATGCCTTAAACAAAATTTACTGACCATCTACCATGTGCAAGGTCCTAGGGAGAAACCGAACAGACATGGTTCCTGATTCAATGGAGTTTACAATCTAGTTTAGGGATACAGACAAACCATTTCAATAGCTCGGATGGAGAAAATACCTGTGCTCAAGGATACCTAACTCGGCAAGCTTCCCTGAGGAGCCACCCTAAACTGAACCATAAAGATGGTTAAGAAGAAATGAGGTGGCAGGGCGCAGTGGCTCACGCCTGTAATCTCAGTACTTTGGGAGGCAGAGCCAAGCGGATCACAAGGTCAAGAGATGGAGATCATCCTGACCAACATGGTGAAACCCCGTCTCTACTAAAAATACAAAGATTAGCCGGGCGTGGTGACGCGCGCCTGTAGTCCCAGCTACTCGGGAGGCTGAGGGAGAGAATCGCTTGAAACCAGAAGTCGGAGGTTGCAGTGAGTCGAGATCGCGCCACTGCCACTGCTCTCCAGCCTGGTGACAGAGCGACACGCCGTCTAAAAAAAAAAAAAAAAAAGGTTACTGGGGTTTGCAGCACACTTACTGATGCTTCAGCCAGTGGCTGGAGACCTTATAACGGGCAGATCTGGCTCCGAAGGTCCTCTTCATAACACTACTGTCGCCAAGACTGGAGGCTGCCCAAGCACGAGGGTACTTTTAGAAGGACCTCAGACTCTTAAGGTTTTTGGTCTGTGCCTCAAATTAAACACAAGTCGGCCTGGCGCGGTGGCTCACGCCTGTAATCCCAGCACTTTGGGAAGCCGAGGCAGGCGGATCACGTGGTCAGGCAATCAAGAACATCTTGGCCATGGTGAAATCCCGTCTCTGCTAAAACAAAAAAAAATTAGACGGGCGTGGTGGCGCGCGCCTGTAGTCCCAGCTACGCGGGAGGCTGAGGCGGGGAATCGCTGGAACCCGGAAGACGGAGGTTGCAGTGAGCCGAGATCACGCCACTGCACTCCAGTCTGGGCGACAGAGCAAGACTCTTGTTTCAAAAAAAAAAAAAAAGCCACATGTCTTACATTTCTCCCAGGTCCCAATTTCCAGGTCTTTTTATTTTTCTTTGTCCCTCCCTGCTCCTAAGCACCTTCGGCTGGGAAGACATTCCTCAGGTGCAGAAACCAGGGGAAGTCTCCCAGAACAGTGGGGGCTTAGCTCAGGACGCAGTCATTTTTGCTGTAGAGTCTCTCCTGCAGCGCTGAGGAAGAAGGCTCAAAGTAAGCAGCCAGAGCAACCGCAGAGGAAAAACCGAAGACAGCCGTGGTCTGGCCCAGCGCTTCTCACCCTCTCGCTGTCTTCTCTCTTTCCGCCGCGCAGCCTCAGCTCCTTCCACACCACGAACGGCGCTTGATTGACATGTGGGCCCGCCCAATCCCAGTGCGGCACAGACCACTGTCGCGTCAGGGACCGGGAAAGGGGGCGACTGAACCTATCAGATTGGGTCGGGAGTGAGTTTCCTGCTCGCGCGGATTCGCCTGCCCGCCGCGCGTGCCCCGCCCCTCTCCCGAGAGCTACGCGGCGGTGGAGCGCAGGCCTCGTGCCGTTACGGCCATCGCGGCGGCCGCGGCGGCGTCCCGGTGCCTTCCTCAGGTGAGCTGGAGCTAGCCGGCTCGGAAGCGGGAGGGTGAGGTGGCCTTGCTGGGAGGCCGACACACACACACACATACACACACCCTCTCCTTCAGTCCGCTGTCCGTCCTCACAGCCTGTTACTCGCTGCGTCGCTTCCTCTTCCCCCGCTGAGTTAGCTCCGGGGGCGCCGTCTGCAGGCTCGGAACTGAGCCGGAGGGGGCGCGGAGGCTGCTCGGGGGGCCTGGACGTCTGCACTGGGATTCCGCTAGACCCTTGGGGCGCTGCCCCAGGGAGCGCGAAGCCGTGGCCTCCGTGTCAGCCCCTGGAGCGCTGCGTCGGGGTTAGAGCCCGGGCGGCCGCCCCTGCGAGGCTGGGAGGTGGAGTGTGCGGCGCGCTCGCCGGCTTGTCTGTTTTCTCCTGAAAAAGTCCTGTTGGCAGCTGTGGCGTCATCCAAGGCCGGGAAGGTAGGGACGTGGTAGAAGGGAGGGTGCTCTCACCTCCAGCCCGAGAGGCGCGCGGGGGCGGCCGCCTGCGCGGTGCTGAGGGTGGACATCTTCGGGACGCGCCCTCGCCCCTCCCCCCACCCGCCGGCCGTTTTCGGTCCGGGGCTTTGACTTTAAACGTCCGGACCTGCTTCGCATTCGTACGCGAGTTGCTGGGGGTGTCAGCTTTTGACTTGAGTTGTAATATGTTCGGTGAAAAAATTATCTCGGTAGGTTTTGTAACATTTCTTGTATGTTAACATATAAGTTAAAATTGCCGTTAGAAGCTGAGGAAGCTGGATGTGTTCAGGGCTGAGGACGTAACCGTAGGAAGGCTCTCGGTGTCAAGCTGATAGACCTGGAGTCAACTGAAAATAATTCTACACGTTATATTAGGTGAGAAGCCTTAGGAATTGTGAAAGAATGAGGTTAAGAAGAATTTTCCAACTCCTCTTTGGGAGGGGAGCAGAGCAGCTCAATGTCTGCCCCAAAACGCGTTGAGTGTTGCCAAGAGGTCCTCATTTTTTTTGGTTGTTGCTGATGGGTTTTTTTTGAGACAGAGTCTCACTCTGTCGCCAGGCTGAGGTGTAGCAGCGCGATCTCGGCTCACTGCAACCTCTGCCTCCCGAATTCAAGCGATTCTCCTGCCTCAGCCTCCCGAGTAGCTGTGCTACCAGCGCAGGCAGCCACGCCCAGCTAATTTTTGTGTTTTTAGTAGGGATGGGGTTGCACCGTGTTGGCCAGATGATTCCCTTTTTCTGACCTCGTGATCCGCCTGACTCAGCCTCCCAAAACGCTGGGATTACAGGCGTGAGCCACCGTGCCCAGCCGAAGTACTCATTTTAAAAATCTTCCTTGGATAGACTTACGGCAAACCGACAATAACGATTTCTTCAGCACCTGGAAACCACTGTGTCTACACTCTCAGCCTTCAGCGAGGTCACACAGTAAACGGGGAAATAACCCGAGAAGAAAGGTTTGTTTGTTTGATAACTGTCGACGTTTGTTCTTTTCTTTTTTAAGAACACTTTATTTTCTTTTGTGGATGGAGTCAGTGATGTTCTTAAATAGGCGTTCCATTCACAACTTGATAGTAATATGTACTGGTTAATAAATGGTACTTTCTTTTCATCTTGACCACAAGCTCTGAGGCTTTCTTTGGGAAAATTTGTGGTCTGTGGGAATTGGCTGTAATATCCATAAAGATAGTTTGCACAGTGTTCAGATCTACTAGCTGTTGCTTCATGTATTAAATTTTAAAATGTGTACTTATTTTTCTAGGCATTATCTTTTGTCCAGGTTTCTGCAGTGCTTTCAGGTCCATGTAAATAAAACTTGAAACCTACCTGTAATGTTTTGTTAGATACTGAATGAAACCAGGCGAGGTAGTTTAAGTCTGTAATCCCAGCACTTTGGGAGTCAAGGCGGGAGGATAGCTGGAGTCCAGGAGTTTGAGATCAGCCTGGGCGATATAGTGAGACTCTGTCTTTAAATTAGAAAATTAAAAAAAAAAAAATTAAAAAAGAAAATAAAGAAAAGTGATATTAAGTGATACTTGATGTTTCTCGGTTTCTTCGAGATGGAGTCTTGCTCTGTTGCCCAGGCTGGAGTGCAGTATCATGATCTTGGCTGATTGCAACCTCTGCCTCCTGGATTCAAGTGATTCTCATGCTCAGCCTCCCCAGTAGCTGGGATTACAGGTGTGTGCCACCACGCCCAGCTAATTTTCTTTTTTTTGTATTTTTTTTTTTTTTTTTTTTTTTTTTTTTGAGACGGAGTTTCGCTCTTGTTACCCAGGCTGGAGTGCAATGGCGCGATCCCGGCTCACCGCAACCTCCGCCTCCTGGGTTCAGGCAATTCTCCTGCCTCAGCCTCCTGAGTAGCTGGGATTACAGGCACGCGCCACCATGCCCAGCTAATTTTTTTGTATTTTTAGTAGAGACGGGGTTTCACCATATTGACCAGGATGGTCTCGATCTCTCGACCTCGTGATCCACCCGCCTCGGCCTCCCAAAGTGCTGGGATTACAGGCTTGAGCCACCGCGCCCAGCCTTTTTTTTTTTTTTTTTTTGTATTTTTAGTAGAAACGGGGTTTCACCATGTTGGCCAGGCTGATCTTGAACTCTTTTTTTTTTTTTTTTTTTTTTTTTGAGACGGAGTTTCGCTCTTGTTTTCCAGGCTGGAGTGCAATGGCGCGATCTCGGCTCACCGCAACCTCCGCCTCCTGGGTTCAGGCAATTCTCCTGCCTCAGCCTCCTGAGTAGCTGGGATTACAGGCACGCGCCACCATGCCCAGCTAATTTTTTGTATTTTTAGTAGAGACGGGGTTTCACCATGTTGACCAGGATGGTCTCGATCTCTTGACCTCGTGATCCACCTGCCTCGGCCTCCCAAAGTGCTGGGATTACAGGCTTGAGCCACCGCCCGGCCGATCTTGAACTCTTGACCTCAAATGGTCCGCCGGCCTGGACCTCCCTAAGTGCTGGGATTACAGGCGTGAGCCACTGTGTCTGGCTGGGTTTCTTTTTCTTTGGGATCTCTGAGAACTTTCCTTTCAAAGCTGAAGGTATGTTTGATGTGATTATTACAAATCACTTTTCAGGAAGAATTGACTTAATACAGATGCAGTTCATTTTTTAAATTATGGTTTAATAATTTTTAGAATTTACCTTTGTAATATGGAAAAATACCAAACATTCTTTATCTGTACTGGAAAATTAAATGATTATTTCATTGATAGGTAAAATTGAAGGGAACTCTTGAAATCACTGAGCATTTAACACATTCTCTATAAATACTGTGATGTTAAGAAGACCGCAGGGCTAAATATGACATTTAAAGATTAAGGCAACAGTTATGTCTGGCTGATCCTCACCTTAAACTGTAACAGAAATAACTAGTCTTCCCTTCAAAACTAACTTTGTTTTGCTGACATCACATTTTCAATTACCCAGATAGAAACTTTGGTTTGTCTCGAAGCACGTTAACAATATTGGCTGATTTTTGCCAGCCATTTTTATCTTTGAACTACTCACTAGCCTTTAATTGGGTTTTCTGCTTGGCTTTTCTCTCTACTTAGTGTGTCCTGCCTAAATCTTAGAATAATGCTTCAAACACATCCTTCTTTTTCAGAAACCAGTGATAGCTCCCTGTTATCTTCACAGTATAGTTCAGAATTCATAGCCTTCTAACAGTCTGCTCAAACCTATTTTTCTGGTGCCAGCACTTTCTTTTTTTTCTTTAATCAGTGCCAGCACTGTTTCTTTATAGGAACTGTCCACTCTAACCAAACCAATCTCTAGTTCTTATTTACCCTTTGTATTTTTCTACCTTCGTATCAATCCCTTTTCTTTTTTGTGTAGAGTCTCACTCTGTTGCCCAGGCTGGAGCGCAGTGGCACCATCTTGGCTTACTGCAACCTCTGCCTCTTGGGTTCAAGTGATTCTCCTGCGTCAGCCTTTCGAGTAGTAGCTGGGATAACAGGTGCGTGCCTCCACGCCTGGCTAATTTTGTATTTTTCATAGAGATGGGGGTTTCTCCATGTTGGCCAGGCTGGTCTTGAACTCCTGACTTCAGATGATCCACAGGCCTCAGCCTCCCAAAGTGCTGGGATTATAGGCATGAGCCATTGCATCTGGCCAGGTTGCCTAGTGTTTAAAATATTTTTTTCTCTTAAATTACCAAGTAGGAAATTAAGGAAAATGTTGAAGTTTTGCTTTTGGTCCTTTGGTGCAGCCTTCCAAATGTTTTTCCTGTTTGCTTTGTTGTTGTTGCTTTTCCTTTTTTTTTTTTTTTTTGAAGACAGAGTCTTGCTCTGTTGCCCCAGCTGGAGTACAGTGGCCTAAGCATAGCTCCTCATTGTACCTTGAACCTCCCAAGGGCCAGGAATACAAGTATGTATCAATGCCTGGCTAATTTTTATTTTTATTTTTTTAGAGATAGGGTCTGACTCTGTTGCTCAGGCTGGTTTTGAATTCCTGGCCTCAAGTGATCCTCCCGTCTTGGCCTCCCAAGGTGCTGGGATTGTAGGGGTAAGCCACTGTGCCTGGCCTGTTGCTTTCCTTTAAACCCATACCCCTTGTGGTTTTACTATTCCCTTGGTTTTTAATCTCATGTGGACTTGTATCATAGACTCAGAGCATTATTACTGGAATGGTGGAATCCAACCTTGTGTTTTTTAGATAAGGAAACTGAAATAAGCATAGACTAGATGCACCTAGTGATGGGGGCAAAACAAAGACTCAAACCTTGATCTTCTAACGCAAATTCTGTTTATTTATGAAACCATACTACTCATCTCTTGTAATTTTGCATTATTTGCCTCACATTATTTTGCATTTTCTGTATTTACGCCTTCTCATAGACTGAAAACTTCAGGGCAGGAGAATCTTCATATTTACCTTGTAATTTTTTTTTTTTTTTTGAGATGGAGTCTTCCTCTGTCATTCAGGCTGGAGTGCAGTGGTGCTCCCTGGGCCCACTGCAGTCTCCGCCTCCCAGATTCCAGTGATTCTCCTGCCTCAGCCTCCCAAGTAGCTGGGGTTACAGTTGCCCTCCACCATGCCTGGCTAATTTTTGTATTTTTAGTAGAGACAGGATTTCACCTTGTTGGCCAGGCTGGTCTCAAACTCCTGACCTTAGTAGATCCACCCGCCTTGGCCTCCCAAAGTGCCGGGATTACAGGTGTGAGCCACTGTGTCTGGCAATTTTTTTTGATGGAGTTTCACACTTTTTGCCCAGGCTGGAGAGCAGTGGCACAATCTTGACTCACTGCAGCCTCCGCCTCCTGGGTTCAAGCGATTCTCCTGCCTCAGCCTCTCGAGTAGCTGGGATTACAGGAGCCTGCCACCACTGCCGGCTAGTTTTGTATTTTTAGTAGAGATGGGGTTTCACCATGTTTGCCAGGCTGGTCTCAAATTCTTGACCTCAGGTGATCCATCTGCCTTGGCCTGCCAAAGTGCTGGGATTACAGTGTGAGACTC